AAGGAGCAAAGCTCCTCGGGTATAAACTTGGTATTGAGTCATTTCTGCGAGTTTCTATCTCACCATGTTTCTTCTGGCCCAGTGGGAGGCCGGTTGGTCTTTTGCATGAGCATTGGGACGTCTTTGTCAAATGATGTTAGCTTCAGATCGACTGATCTGATCTGCAGGACGCTGCTAGAGGATTCCCCTAAAAATAGATCCTGCACTTCCTCAAAGGGGAACCTGATTCATCCAAAGTTAACATTATATAGCCTATTCATTTCCAAGGAAGGTTAACGATGCCTTTTTTTTGGGGCGACGGTTTAAACTAGGACCCCCCCGGTCTTGTCAACCCTACCCCCCACAAAGGGGTTTAGAATCCTTCTACGAATCCCTGTTAAGGTTGAACCTTTCCCGCTGGGGGTGGGGGGTTGGGGGGTGGTGTCACACTTTGGTTTCCTCCCTAGGTTGCTCTTTGATTCGACTGAAGTAAGCTTCTTGGAATCCCCAATTTTCCATATCGCTTGGGAGCTCTTCTCAGGTCTCGTTCCGGCGTGTGGGCACTTCAACGAATTTGGGGGACCAGCAAATTCCACTGACGCGTCTTTTTGCTCCAGAACCTGTAGCTTGGCATACTACCCTTGTGCCAACAAAGGCAAAAGGACCACCAGGATCCCGTCTAATTAGACGGTTGATTTTTTCTCTTTGCCCAAGGCTCGGGCATGGTCCGTTCAGAGGGCCATGCGGGACTTTCTACACTTCCCACAATGGACGTCTCCATGCCCGTGGAGGGTCTTACAAGCTTTGACCTTCCCAGATGCTCACTTCCTGAGTTCATGAATTTGAAACTTTTTGGGAAGACCATTTTAGTGGTAACTATAAAATGTGTGCAGTCTTTTTGAGCCATCCACTCAGCAAGTGAGGATGAACCTTCAGGATTGGAACGGCTTTGGATTCGCTCCGCAGACTTCTGGGCCTGTTCTTTGGAATTCGGGTTCGGGGGCGACCGCCGCAGCCGCATAGGAACAGCAGGGGCCGCAACATGGGTCCTAGCGACTCGATGAAAGATCAACGGGCGGCAGCACGTAGCCCCGCAAACTCGCGTTTTTTGCCACTCCCTTTCCCTCTTGTAAGGTTCATTATTTTTAATTGTTATTTTTGAATCTATTTTTCTCTTTGTCATATTTCTCTTTCTGTTTCTTTCTTTGTCTTCCTTTTCTTGTCCACTTCCTCTTGCTCTTGCTCTTTTTCTTTCTCTTTCCCTGTTGCTTAATCTTTCTCTTTCCCTGTTTCTTTCTCTTTCTCTTTTTCTCTGACTTTGACGACAAATATCAGGCCGCCAACAACCCCAAACCAGCCCTAAACCAACCCTAAACGAACCACCCTAACCAACCCCTGGGGGCCGGGGGGACCACGGCCTGTTTGGCGAGGGGCATTGGAGACCATGTGCAAGTCGATCCTGATTAGTTCCCTAATTTGACTTAAGTAAACAAATTCATACACAAACTGCCGTTTGGTTGCACTCACCGGACATATTGGTTGCCATCATTAGTATAGGCCGCGTGGATGACATGTTCCGTCAAACCCCGGGTAGATGAAGATTACTAGGGGACGGTCCCAGCCAGACAGAAGTGCGGATATTGGCCCTTGTACTTAGGTAGACTCTCTGGATACCGACTCAAGGGATCTCCAGAACAGGGCCTGAAACCTCCCATTTTGGGAGGTTCCTTCCCGTTGTGTGGCCCTCTGGGGCTCCAGCAAAAGGCCCGGCTGCTGCCCATTTGCCTTGCCCCCGGCTCAAACAGACCTTGCTTGGGCCCAGCCTGGCGTGCGGCAGTGAGCCATGGAGCGAGGCGCGGTCGAATTGATCCGGGCGGTGGTCGAACCAACTCCAACAGCAGAAAGGGATCCCAGCCCAGTGCAACTAGGCAAGCCACAATAGGTGAATTTCGAAAAGAGTTCACACGAAACCCAGAGAGGGCGGGTGGCTCGTCAGTTCTTGGCTCTTGTGAGCTGAGGGCACCTTCCCAGCCAGGCCTGGCCATTCGCCCGGCGCTGGCTGGGGCCCATGGGAAGTCGGGTGGAGGTGGGGGGGGGTTTACGCTTAAGGGTGGGATGGTTGTGGGTTGGTTGGCTGTGGGTTGGTTGTGGGTTGGTTGGTTGGTGGGTTGATTCTGGTTGGTTTGGGGTGGGTTGGGCGGCGGGGAGTCGTCGGTTGATCGGGACCTTCGAGCACGTTTCGGCGCGTACTCAGTTGGCAGAACCCGACAACCCTAAGACCCCTAAAACCATCTTGCTAACCTAAACGCCCCAAACCCACACCAAGCCACCTTACGTCCACCCTACACCCACCCTACCATGGACCAGACAAATCATACAAGCGTGAGAGTAGATTCCCAAGAAAAGGGCTGGGATTGTTGCAGGTGGTCTCGCGGTGGGGCGGGTGTGTGTTCTTGGTGAGGGTGGGACATGTCACATTTGATGTGGGGTTTTATGCCCAACAAGTGTAATTGTTTCTATTTTCCTCGTAGTTGGTGCGCTAGCGAGTCCCAGACCTCTGTGGCCTTTTTTTCTTGGAGGTTCCCGAAGCAATCGGCTACCAAAAAGGCGCCCTTTCTCCCAATGGAATTCCACCGAAGTTCTGCAGGGCCTATATCTTAACCATTTGCTTTAGGATGTAGTTTGTTGTTCTTATCAGATAAGCAAGTGTAGGCGCTGCGCAGCTTAACCGGTCTGAGTGCCTATTCGTGCGGCTGCGTGCCGCTTTGGATTTTTGAAACCATGGCATGTTTGCACCGAAGCACCAGACTCGGAGTAAACTCAGGTTGGGGACAAACCACAGACCTGTCAGGGACATGGCTGTGGCTCAAAAAGCTGTACCAACATGGCACCTTGGTAGATGGAGCCGAACACGAAAACCTGCTCTTTAACTTTGAGCCACACCCACATGGCCTCGTTGACAAGTTTGTTCGTCAAAGGCGCAACAAGTCGAGTCACTTGTGTTTCGCCAATAAATTCAGCAGGTCACAGCACCTTTTCTCAGGTGCTATGTTAGTGGGGACTGTTAAAGCAACAAGAGGCTCACTTGGGGCTGGGCATTCAGTGTCTTGGACAGTCAGCAACTGCTCCGCTGCTTGGCTTAAGTCTCTGGTTTTGTATTCGTATTCAATGGGGTTGGGTTGGGAAAAGCGCGGAGGGGCGGCGAACATTTCGGGACAAATTGAGGCCTTTGAGCCCGATTTCGGCCAATTGTCCTTTTTCTTTGGGCCGTGTCTGGAGCTGGTACCCATTTTGGGGTTTATAAAAGGTGGTTCTCCGAATAGACGCTTTGAAGGGTTGCTTGGATTCGAGCCGAGGCCGGAGGGTTTAGCAAGGAGCCTCAGAGAGAGACGGATCTCGCGGCTTGGGATTTGTTCAAGCCGGTAGGTTGCCCCAGGTGTTCGCACCTATTCCTGAAACATCTAGGTGGATGTTCAACCCACTTTGACAGTAGGTCAAACCATGCTTCCAACTGGGGAGGTAAATATTACAATTACGGAATGGCCTATCTTTTCTGCGGCTTGAGATGTGTTGGAACCCCCCCACCCTGTGAATGCACGGGTTGCAAGCCTAACCTTACTTCTGGTTGGGGCCCCAGTTCCAACTCAAAGTGGACCTCACATGCTTTTCGCTTCTGGACTACCGTTCCCAAGGTGTGTTTAGGATATTTTCAGTTTCTTGCGAATGATTCCAAGCAAAGCGAACGACTCCAGGCCTCCCGACTTCCTTGATCTTTACTGTTGAAATTTGCGAATATGGCAGTGGAAGCCCAGGGGTCGGACGGGGCTCGGAGCGCATTTCTCGCTTTGCTTGGTTCACGTGGTTGGCTCCCATTGGATATGATCGTTTCTTCAGGGGGGTTGCAAAGATGAACATTTTCGCTGAGTTGGACAGATCGTTTCGAAGCGGGGCGATTCTTTGCACTAACCAACAACAAAGTGGCGGGGTTTGGTTTCCAGAGGTTGCGTAGCATGGCCACTTCGCCACCAGAAGAGCACTCACCTGACTGTCAGCTCCTTTATTCCATCACTTGGCATCTATAGTATGAGGGCAAAGAAGTCACCGACAGCATTGCCTTGTGATGACCAAATGTGGTGTGGAATTCCCCTCGAATTATCTTTTGGGCCCTTATCTTATTCTGGTTTGGGCCCAGCGCTTGACGTCCTAAAGTTGAGCCCGCTGGAGGAGTAGCCGGAAACCGAAGATGGAATGCCCGAGGGCAATGCAAGGGTTGCAGAACGCAACTGCTTCGTATTTAGCGCTTCCCCAATGGGGATTTTGGAGTTGGTTTGACCACCTTCCGTTTTGAACGGCCCAGACATCAGATGGTGGAGCAAGTTGAGAGTTCAACGTGGAACCCATCGGATGGTTTGAGACTCATCATCTTGCCTTTGCCCCCACGTACAGACAACAAATCGATCGCGATCGATGCGCTGCCATGCTGGGGGAAGACGATTCAGCCCCCAGGCGAAAACCCTCAAATACAGAGCTGTGAGCTCGCACTGACGTGAACAAAGCCGCCAGCCCGAGCACGGGGCACTGACTGGGTCCCCCAGCTAGGTGCCCTTTGTCACCCCTTTTTTGGTTGGGAGGGGAAAGCCCTACAAAAAATAGACTGCAGAAAAAAGATTGGGAGGACCTAGCTGAAACGGGCCTGGCAAACGGATCTAGCTGGCAGCGGTATTCAATAAATTCTTCCCCCCCCACATATATATATATATATATATATATAATAAAACAAAACAAAATAAAACGGAGCCACGAAGCCAACCCGGAAACCCGGCCCTAAACCACCAAACAAACTCTAAAGCCCACCATAAACTGGCCCCAAAGCCACTAACACCGCCCGAAACCAGCCCCAAAGCCACCCTAACCAACCGCAAGCCGCCTTAAACCAAGCCTTCTGGGCCAACCCAAACCCAGCCAAACCTGGCCAACCCCAGCCAAACCTGACCCAACCCCAATCAAACCACCCCGCCCCCCCGCCCCCCCCGCCCCCCGGCGCTGGCGAATCGAACCGCCCGAGCCGCCCGCCATGCGCCCGCTCTGCCGCGCCGGGGGGGCCTGTGCGGAGCGCGGCTGGGGTCGGGTCCTGGTGCTGGCGGAGGAAGGTCCGCACCTCAAGGGAAGGTTCGGGGGATTTGGTCGCAGGGGGTTTGGGGGGGGGGTTGTTTGTTTGTTTGGTTGTTTGTTTGTTGGTTGGTTGTTGTTTTTTTTCTCTCTTTTTTTTTGGGGGGGGGTAGCAAGGGGTGGTGGAGGGTCTACTCTAGCCTCGCACAGTGTTTGGGGTGTTTGCTCCTCCAACAATGATCCGGGTCCCCTCGAATATGCGACCCCCCTATGACATCAATCAGTTTTTGTTTTGTTTTTCCTCTTGGCTCCCACACATGACCCACAATATGATTCGTCCCCCAAGTGGACGTGGGCAACACCGGCATTCTATGAATCAACCAGTCGTTTTATGAATCAGCAAGGTTCCCATTGCCAGAAGTTTGTCCTTAGCTGAAGTGGCCTCGGAAATATAGACCCCCGTGATGGGAAGTCGGCCACACAAAACTGGGCGAGGCGTTCGGTGTTCGGTGAGCTGGTTTTATCGGCAGGTCGTGCTGCGGCCATGGCTCTGCAGTCGATGCAGAAGGCCCTGATCAATCCAGGGAATTGAGACAACAAATCTAGTTTCCAGGGCTGGAAAAAAAACTTCCGTGATTAGATCTGGTTTTTGAAGTTCCCCACAGCTGATTCTCATTTTTTAGCCCTGAAAGTAGATCCATAAAAGCATCGACCATGGCAAGCATCGGCGAGCCTCAAAGGGGTGCCCGCAAAAAGAGGACACACCCATAGCTGGTATTGAAACAAACAACCATCTTCGACTGGTGTATGTTAAAAAACAATGCCTCGCTTTTATGGGTACACTTGGCCATGTTTTATCCATGCCTGGTTAGACAAAGTACTTGTAGGAGGCGCAGGCCGAAAGTTCCCACGACTTTCCACACAGAGCCGAGCCCTTGGTTGAGTCAATTTGCTGTGCGGTTTCTTGCAGCTGAGTTGTGTGTGGAGATCAACAAGTGAAGAGGCCCAGCGTGGCCTTGGCCTTGTTGACGTTACCTTTGATCCATGCCCTTGACATATTCTGCTGGTTTGAAGAGAGGGGAATTTTCGGCCCAGGAGTCTGGAAAATAGGGGGACCTTCGAGAGGGATTTTCGGCCCAGGAGTCTGGAAAATAGGGGGACCCTCGACCTCAATAACGGACGCACTCGTGTATAGTTCCATTCTTGACCGAGCGGTTGGAAGATCAGATGCATGGAATTGGGTTCGGCGACCCCCCCCTCATGACTTTTCTTTTGCCCGGATTCAGCAAGGACTGCGAACAGATTGCTTGCGAGCGGTCCCACAAGACTCCAGTTGCAGTTAGAAGTCCTCTTTGGGCGAAGCTCTTTCGGGCCCCCCTCCGCCAAGAATGGTTCTTAAATCCCTTCTAAGGTTCTACGCACGGGGGACCTCTAGGTTTTTCCCCTAACCATAAGACCCACAATTCGTCACCCAGATTTCCCCCTCAATTTGTCACCATCCAATTTGTCACCCACATTTCCCCCTCATGTTTTGCCCAACCATAATTAGTCACCATCCAGATAACCCCCCCCCCCCCCCGCCGGATTTTTGGAAGCCATGCTTGGCATCAGGCGGGGGTGGTGGCGCAGCTTCTGCTGCCTCCGGTGGGCCCTTGCGCCTGGCCGGGCTTGGTGGACGAAGGCGGATGGGATTTGGGGCACCCCGGAAAAGTGAATGGGACAGGAACCCCCGTAACAAATAATAATGATAATCATAGTAGTAATAGTCATAATAGTAGCAATAGTAATAATAATAGTGATAATAATAGTGATAATAATAATGATAATGATAGTAATACAGATGATAGTAATAATAATGATAATATTAATAGTAATCATGATGATTCATAAGAACAATTATAATGATACGAATAATAATGATAATGATAGTAATCATAATGATAGTAATCATAATGATAGTAATCATAATGATAGTAATCATAATGATAGTAATCATAATGATAGTAATCATAATGATAGTAATCATAATGATAGTAGTAGTAGTAGTAGTAGTAGTAGTAGTAGTAGTAGTAGTAGTAGTAGTAGTAGTAGTAGTAGTAGTAGTAGTAGTAGTAGTAGTAGTAGTAGTAGTACCAATAGTACTAATAACAATAAGAGTAATGATAAACATGATGTGCACAGGTGCTTCGGTGTCCTTCAGGTTTTCCTTACAACGAAACCCAAGGGGTACTTTTCAAAAAGACACACGTACAGGCACATGTGGCTGTGAGGTTGTATGGCCGGGGGTTGCATTTGTGCATGATGCCCCAAAATGAACAGAAAAGCCAGTTTTCACCCGCCTTCTGGCGCAGGAAGTCAAGGGTTTTCGTGGTTGGGCTATGCCCCAGAACTGGTTGGGGGTTGCATGAATTCATCCGTGTCATATGTCCGGCAAAGGGCCCCCCAATACGGAACATACCTACCTTGTCCCTCGTTTTCCCTGTGCGACCATCCTTTTCGCGGAGTCCAGGCCAGAGACAAGGTGAACTGACACCTCATGGCGGGAATCCCCCAGTGTTCCCCAAAGCTGCTGTTGAATGCCAACATTTTGGGGGCAACATTTTGAAGATCGCAAGGGGAACAATCCAATGGCACAATTCACCTTGGACCTTCCATCCGTCAAGGCTTCCCTCCAGTTCCATGAGATTGTGGCATCTGACCCCTTGGCAGACCCCCATGAGACCACACCCCTCGCTCCTCTCCGCTCTCCGATTTCTGCTCCGCTTCGATCGCACGCCAGTGGCCCCGGTGGCGGCCCGCGCGGATGCGGTGCTGGGCGTGGGCGGCGGCGCGGTGCTGGACTTGGCGAAGGCGGCCGCCGCCATGGCGCCGCCGCCCGACGTTTTTCGGAAGCGGTCGGAGCGAGGGGTCTTTGGTATGGTGGGTTCCCCGCACAGTTGGAATCAAAGCCAACATGGGTCTCAACGTTCTTTTCCATCACTGTACAACTGGGAGGGCTTCCAGACACCAGTTATCATTGGGGGCATTTTGCTTGGATGTTAGGACTGAAGAACTTTTTCCCAACTGATGGATGTTTTCCGTATGAAACCACTAAAAGTTTAAAACTTTTGGCAGGGGCTCGCAGAAAGCAACCGGGGGGTGGGGGGTGGGGGGGGGAGGGGTGGGGGGTGGGGGGGAGGGGTGGGGGGTGGGGGGTGGGGGGCTGGGGGGGTAGGCGCGTGAGGGGGCCGATGGGGCAAGGTGAACTTGGATTGAAAGACGCTGGGTGGGAAGAATTTTCCCCACTAAGCTGAGGATGGGGTAATTTTCAGCACGCCATTTATTTATTCCCCAGGTAGCTGAAAGCTATTCGGGGTTCTAACTTCTAACAACTAGAGGACAGTGAGTTGCGAGATTGACGGCTGGGTGCTAGGCGGCACGCAGTTTGGGGTGCTGGCGCAGGTGCTGTTTTGGGATGCTGTTTGGGCTGCTGTTTGAGCGGGCGCGTGTTTGCGATTTGACGGCTGGGTGCTCTGGCTGGTTGGGGCGCTCTTCGCGGGGTGCTGTTAGAGGTGCTGCTGTGCAATCATCGGCCTGTTTTTCGCTATTTGGGTATGCTGGCGCACGTGTTTTTTTGGGGGGTGGGGGGTGAACTGCTAGCTTCGGATTGATCCGGGGCACCCCAATTCGTCGAGGAACCCCCACAAGATTTGCTGAAGGAGGAACGCTGACTCTGATTGGTACCGTCCTCCTGGCATGAATCGGGGACGTTGGCCCCCTTCGAGGCCCAAGCTAAGGTGCTCCCACTGATTGTTGGTGGGGGTTGCAGAAAAAACTCAACCTGTGTTCCGTGGGGGACACATTATTATAGCCTGTACCGTTGCAACTCTTTTGCGCAAAAGAAATGCGCCCGGTGGCTGACTGATTAGAAGCCGCCGGCCGTTGCCGGGAGAGCCCGAACGAGGCTCCAGAGCACCAAATCAGCACTTTTGGGCGGCCCCCGGTGGCTGACTGATTAGACGGCAACGCAAGAGCGAACGAGGCTCCAGAGCACCAAATCAGCACTTTTGGGCGTTAGAAGCCGCCGGCCGGCAGGCAACGGGAGAGCCCGAACGAGCCTCCAGAGCACCAAATCAGCACTTTCGGCTCCCGTGGCGAATCTGCGTGTTTCGGGCCTCGTTCTGGGCCTCCCGTTGCAGCAAAACGGCAACGGGTGCAACGCCTCATTATCCTGAGTGTTTTCAATCTCTGCACTGTTGCAACTCTTCCTGTACGACGGATTTCCACGAATTTCCTTAACATGCACATTTAAGGTTCTATAACATGCTCCGCTAGCGAACATTTGCAGCGGTATCTTTTCACGCTTTCTGGGCTGTGTCTTTGTATGACAGGCTTCAAAGTACCTACATTGCGGCACTGACTTTCGTAGAGGGACAGAGAGTCTGCTGTGGTTCGAGGGTGGTCTGTTGTGTTGAAGTCCTCAAAACATGAATCATGCACATCTTCCCGCTTGCGGCTGTGAAGCTGCCTTGGCTCCGCAAGCTGCAGCTCCACTTGCGACTGCTGGAGAGGCTCAAGGTTCGGCACGCGCCCGAACGCCTCGCTGCTACGCCGTGTTCAGCAGGTCATGAATCCTGACAAGGACTGATTTGCAAATTTTCTAAGATTCAGCCATTGCCTCGGGCTTTCTGTGCCAGGAAGGCCCGCACGCCGAAGCTCTCATTGACGCCCAGGCATGCCGCTAAGCCGTTCACAGTGCTGCATACGGTCCGGCAGGTTTCCTTCGACCCTGCCAACAGAAATCAGGCAACGTGCGTGTCAGTTATTCGCACTGCCTTTTGCTAGAGCTCCAGATTTGGAGGCGGCGCCTTGCGACAACCCTCGGCTATCCGTTAAGCGGGTCAGGGCTCGGTATGTGCAGTACATGAACATGTTCGTGCCCAGGCCCCTGAGCGCTAGCCCCGAGGCACAATCCCCTGCAAGCACACGCGCACCGGTCTGTGCTGCAGAACAGGCAAAGGCAACTGCGCGCCGCAGCGGATGCGACGTGTCTGTTAGGACCCAAAAGGAGGCCAAGCAAAGATGCACCGCCCCAAAGCAAGCTCGCCGCAGGAGTGCCTGCTACTTTTTGTGGGCTTGTGCTTCAGTTGTCTGCAGTCCATGGGGCCGCAGGACCACCTCCTGGCTGGTTTGCAAGACACGAAGACGTTGTTGCCAATGGTGCCAGCTGTGGGTTTTCGCCCCCCTGTTTCGAGACTGCTTTTCGGGCTGGAGCATGCGAGAAAACATGAATGTGCGAAGAATTTTTGCCGCTGGCAGCAACCGTGGGTTTCCTTGTTTCGAGACAATGCCCTTCAGGAACCTTCCGCAGCTTTGAGGAAGCCGGCAGACCGTCAGAACATGCCGTTGCCAGTGTTGTTCTTGACAGGTCCCACCAAGGCTTCCCAACCAGAAACGCCTTCAGATGCATGCTAGGAAATCACTTTTGGGCAGCCAAGAAAACATCCTGTGCCGACAGACAACTTTGTTTCCGACCCAAACCGTGCTGCTGTCCAACTTGCAACGCTGCCCGCCTCATTGCTGTCAGGGCCTGTACGTGCCCTGTGTGCGTCAAATTCCTCTCGCGGCGCGACGCTCGGTTGTCTGTCGTTGGCTCCACAGTCGCTCCTGCATTCTCCGCCTGCCACTGCTCGCCGCTGCCTTTCAGCGCTTGGCCCGACTTGTCTGTTGCCCTCACAGTCAGATCCTTCCTTGCCCAGATGGCCCCGAAATTCTCCGCGGTGCGGCGAGAGGTGCCCGCAATGAGCTCGTCCCCTTGCGCACCGCGGCCTGCCCTGGCGAAGGTCGCCAAGCTCGAGCTGAGCATGACCTTCACAGCCATTGCTTTTGGGGACGACGGCTCCCTGGTGTCCGACGCATTCACGGCGATGCCGTTGACGGCGTGGGTTGTAGACGCCAACGCAACGGCGACCAAACTCTATGACGTGGCCGCGCTGTGGAGCCGCAGGAGATGGCGCCGGCCCGAAGACCAACGAAGACCTGCGAAATTTCGGCATGGTCTTCACCGCATGCCCGAAGTCATCCTACTTCTGACGACGGGGAAACCGGCTTTGCCATCCTGCGCGGGTTCCTGGATTTCATTCTGGCAAGCCCCACCCACTCTAAGCGACTGAGCAACAACCTGACGCTCCGCATTGTGAACAGCACCCCGTTCAGTTGCGACACCTTCAAGGAGCCGCTGGGCCCCAACGTCAAAGTCCCTGTCATCATCCAGGACATCCAGCCCAGTCCGATTCACCCCTGCTCGCTGCGTGGCCATGCGCGCTTGATGTTGGCCCACTGCCCCACGCCCCCCCCCGGAGATTACGCTTGAGGATGGCGACGTCCCGCTCGTGCCGCATACTGGTTCGTGGTGGGGTTTGCGAGACATCCTTCGTGAGCACAACTTCCAGGAGATTGCACCGGAGGGTGCTGCCAAGTGGTTTCAGGCACTGGTCATCACATCCAACACCGGATCAGACTGGCTCCTCGGCTTTGTGAATGCCTTGTCCTCCTTGCCCTTGGAGATCGATCTGTCGGTTGACGTCACTGAGTTTGATGACCTCTTCAATCGAGCCGAAATTCTTCGCGACGCCATTTCCAAGTGACAGACGCTGAGATTCTATGCCTCCATGCTTTTCAGCGGCAGCGGCCTGAGCACAAAGCCAGCCCGCTGAGTAAGCAATCCAAGTGCTACGCAGTCTCTCTATTTCAAGTCCATGTCAGCTCTGCAGCAACACTGTGCAAAAAGTCCGCTTTGCTGTTCCGCAGCTCGCATTACTGACCGCCATCCATGTGACATTCCGGCTCGCATGCCAGCCTGCCACAAGGTCTCTTCACAAACTGCCATCTCTTGTCCAGCGCTCAGTTTCTGCAACCTCGCGAAACATCAAGTCCTTGCCTTGCTCCAAGGCCGCGGACGATTCCAGCTCGACCTGACGCCTGGCTGAATGCAGGAAGAAAAAAGCTTGACTGCGTGCGTGATCTTGCGCAACACGCTCTGCGCTAGCCTCACTGCACTCTTGTCACAGAAGTGCATCTTTTCTGGCGCCGCCAGTTCGCTTCACCCGTTGCTTCCCAGACCCACTCACTATGGATCTGACCTTGTCCCTGACATACCGAAGCCGCCGCTACCGCTGCGACGCTGGTGCGTTCAACAAAACGCTTGGTCCACCGAAGACATGGACTACATTTGGGAGGCCTTCCGCACCGCCACATCAGCCACTGACGAGCTACATGCTTCAGCCCCTTCTACCTGGGTCGGGTTTAAACTGCTTGCGGCGTGCAGCGCCGTCACAATTCTTCCTGGCCCTCAGAACTCAAAGCAACGCAGGCCGTGAACGCACGCTGTCGCGTGCTGAATTTCGCGCCCTTGCTGCCGAAATACAGGCACGGCCTCTCACTACAGCTCTCTGGTACCAAGGCAAGCCGTACCATTGGCCCCTTGCAGTTCGCTTGGCAGACACGCGTCTCGTCGAAGCTGCAGCTGCCCTACAAAAGAGCGCTGCCTGGGAAAGATTCCACTGGAGCTACGATGCTTTCCAAAACCCTGGACCTTCCTTGCCGGGGTTGCTCAGCTACCCCCGGATGTTCAGCCAATTGTCGACTTCAGCCTTGGGCGCTACAGACTGCGAGGAGAAGCCACATTTTCCTCTGCGCTTTCCGCCTACCTGCTGGCGGACACCAAGCTGCTTCTGCTGCCGTGCCTCCCCTTCTCAAGCATGTGCAGAACTCCTGGCAAAATGAAATGCAGACCGTGCACTTGCTGTCCGTGGACCGAGCTATTGCTGCTGGGTTGCCGCCTTCTGCAGACGCGCCGCCCCTTTGCTTGGACAACGCTGCGGCGCGAGAGCCATACTACTACGCCTCTGACTGTCACGAAAACTTCCGCAGTATTCCTACAGAAACGGCCTTTGACACGCCGTGGTGCTTTGAACAACTTGCGCAGCACTGACTTCTTGCAGGTCTACGAAACGCTGCATTCCTCGGGTGGCTTGCAATGCTTTCGTTCCCGCCTCGCTCAAGTTTTAAACTTTTGGCAGGGGCTCGCAGAAAGCAACCGGGGGGTGGGGGGTGGGGGGCTGGGGGGGTAGGCGCGCGAGGGGGTCGATGGGGCAAGGTGAACTTGGATTGAAAGACGCTGGGTGGGAAGAATTTTCCCCACTAGGCTGAGGATGGGGTAATTTTCAGCACGCCATTTATTTATTCCCCAGGTAGCTGAAAGCTATTCGGGGTTCTAACTTCTAACAACTAGAGGACAGTGATTTGCGAGATTGACGGCTGGGTGCTAGGCGGCACGCAGTTTGGGGTGCTGGCGCAGGTGCTGTTTTGGGATGCTGTTTGGGCTGCTGTTTGAGCGGGCGCGTGTTTGCGATTTGACGGCTGGGTGCTCTGGCTGGTTGGGGCGCTCTTCGCGGGGTGCTGTTAGAGGTGCTGCTGTGCAATCATCGGCCTGTTTTTCGCTATTTGGGTATGCTGGCGCACGTGTTTTTTTGGGGGGTGGGGGGTGAACTGCTAGCTTCGGATTGATCCGGGGCACCCCAATTCGTCGAGGAACCCCCACAAGATTTGCTGAAGGAGGAACGCTGACTCTGATTGGTACCGTCCTCCTGGCATCGGGGACGTTGGCCCCCTTTGAGGCCCAAGCTAAGGTGCTCCCACTGATTGTTGGTGGGGGTTGCAGAAAAAACTCAACCTGTGTTGCGTGGGGGGACACATTGCTTGTCACTTTGGCAAAAGAAACCTTAGGCGCGATGCCCCCCAGGAACTGCCGAGCAGGGGAAAAACCGAACTCAAACCTCTGGTGGTTTGCGCCTGTGTCTCGTTTGTTTGGAGGGGGTTTCCCAACTTATGTTCACCCAGAGCAGCATAACTTGCCTCCAGATGTCCAGTGGTGCCATTTTTTCCTTTGAGGGGTTCGTTTCAGTACGCGCACAAAGTGTTGTTTGTCGCACTGGGGGCCAGGGTATGAAGCGGCAAGCCCACAGAAGGTTGTTTCAGCAGGAGTCTCTTAGTCTCACCTTGTTGGACGAGTGTGAACCAATGTTTCGAGGAAGGTTTTTCTTTTCTGGGGATGGTGTCCTAGAATTTTTGCTTGATCAGCATCTTCAGTTTGTTGTGACGGGGCTTTGCAGTCAAGCCGTGCCGATGGCCGCAGGCATGCATGCATCAATGTCTGTGCGTGCGTGCGTGCGTGCGTGCGTGCGTGCGTGCGTGCGTGCGTGCGTGCGTGCGTGCGTGCGTGCGTGCGTGCGTGCGTGCGTGCGTGCGTGGGCGTGCGTGGGCGTGTGTGTGTGTGTGTGTGTGTGTGTGTGTGTGTGTGTGTGTGTGTGTGCGTGCGTGCGTGCGTGCGTGCGTGCGTGTGTGCGTGCGTGCGTGCGTGCGTGCGTGCGTGCGTGCGTGCGTGCGTGCGTGCGTGCGTGCGTGCGTGCGTGCGTGCGTGGTGTGCGTGCGTGCGTGTGTGCGTGTGTGCGTGTGTGTGTGTGTGTGTGTGTGTGTGTGTGTGTGTGTGTGTGTGTGTGTGTGTGTGTGTGTGTGTGTGTGTGTGTGTGTGTGTGTGTGTGTGTGTGTGTGTGTGTGTGTGTGTGTGTGTGTGTGTGTGTGTGTGTGTGTGTGTGTGTGTGTGTGTGTGTGTGTGTGTGTGTGTGTGTGTGTGTGTGTGTGTGTGTGTGTGTGTGTGTGTGTGTGTGTGTGTGTGCGTGCGTGCGTGCGTGTGTGTGTGTGTGTCGTAACAACCCTCCTCAGCCCTCAACAAGGCCTTGTTAAAATCGATAAACAACAAACAACGTATGCTGTATGCGGGCAAGTCAGACGATTTACTGGGAGTTTCGGAAGCGGGTTTTGGAGCCAAGGGGAGGCAACGGGAGCCATGATAAGATTGTTGTCTGAATGCACAAAAACGCATCCTACTCCCAGTTTTATATGGCCTTGTCAAAACTGGTTAAGCTAGGGGTGCTTTTGGCAGCTTTAAAAGGATATCATCAGGAAACAACCAGTTTCGAGGATTCCGACTGTGTTTTGACACGCCACCATGCCAAAATGGGGGTTTCCTGTATGTTTTCCTTACACCAGTACGGAGCCTCAAAGAAACACACACACGCTACCATATTCGCATTCTTGCAACATGCTCTGAATGCCGGATTGAAGTTTGGGGGTGACCTTGGCTTTGCCAGCTTCTTCTCACATGCTCAACACCTTTGCTTGAGCAGCATCCTTTTGGGGTCTGTCTTGGGGGTCGGTCCATGGCCGCCGAGAAAAAAATTGCCCAACCTTGGTCATGACCCAAGCTTGAGGGATGCTTCCCCTATGCGAAGGGTCCCGGGCCAGCCGCGGAAATTCAAGGGGCAGATGAGCGAACCCAGGCTGCTGCAGGCCAGCGACCGGTCGCCAAGCTTTGTGCCTGACTCAGCGCCGAGTGTTGGGGGGCGCCAGCAATCATACTAATGTCATCTTCGGATGAATACATTGATTAAGGAATGAATGGATGGATGGATGACATGAAACGGCGTGACGCGAAACCAATGAATGAATGAATCCGGACACTGGTCAGAGGAACCCCCAACTATGGATCATTTCCCTGGGAAACAGGGGCACTACCCCTGATTAGTACGGCCCTCCGGATTAATCCGAAGTCAATATGAGTTACTTGGATGTTCCTAGCGTGGGGTAAGTGGGCTATGACCATGGTCTACTGGGTTATTTGTTCCTTACCGTAGGTCATGACCATGGTACAGGAACCGGGGTGTCCCCTGTACTAGTCTACTTTCTGAGCCTGAACATCCAGGTAGGCCCCCCTAACTTTTTTCTTTTTCCAAATTTTTATTTATAACAAGGCCGTTTTGGGGTTGTCTTTGGCTTTGAACAGTTTCAGGTACCCTTCAATCAGGAAAGGGAAAACTCCTCTTACCATTTCGAGTCCGCCCAGTGCGTGCAGGCAAGCCACTATAGTAGGTATCCAAGGACTACAAGGAAACATGTCTGGTTCACTGAGAAAGCAACAAAAGGTAACCAGTTAAAAATATTGACCCAAACGGCGGATTCTTCAAGTTGCTGCACCTGGTGTCTCCTCGATTTTTTCTTTAGACAATATGATTTTTCCAGGTTTTTTCTTACTCAAGGGTGAGCTACGACGCACCTGAGGTCTGATTTTCCTGAGTGCCTTTTGGCTTGCGGAAGTCTCAGGAGCCGCTCA